CTGAAATAAGTATCAAACTTGGGCACTGTGGTAGAGCATAACTCCATTATGGATAAGATTTTATTTTCATAAATCACACGGTGTTATACAGTAATATCAACTGATGACGTTTCGAGCACAATTTATTGCTCATAATCATATCAAGTTACTCACACAACTTCTTTCCTTCATTTATATACATGTGTGGAATCGATTAGACATTGGAATAAAATTCAATATGAAATAATGTACATTCTTTTCGACGAAGTCATCAACTAGGCTGCACATTCGTGTATTTATAATAAATGTGTGAGCATGGTTAGCAAGAGGAGAACACAAAGGGGTATACAGTTCTACAGAAGAGCATCTGGTGAGTTCTGGACAATCAGCCCCATTTCAAAAGTCCTTCAAAGACATATATAAGATCCGATACACCCTACCAAAGGGAGTGAGATCAAAACATCTGAGAATAGCTGAAGCACCGCCGATCCAAAACCTCAACCCTACTCTATGTGTCCAAAAGAAATATGTTCAACCGTTGTCTTTACCGACGCCATCATGAAAAGTCAGTTTCACCAACAATGATTATCCTATTACCTTTCTTGTCCAACCCTCCCATTTATTTGTCATATTTACCTTTTTTAAAATCCCAATTTGCTTTATAAGATTTGATTACTGTTTTTTTTCTTTATGTGTCCCAACCTCCTACCCCTTTCGTTAATACAACGTTCTTAATCCATAATTAGACAAACTGAAGAGTTTTCCAGTAATTATAATCCTATTTTGTCTTTTCTACCTTATCTTCCTGATTATTATGCATTGTAATTGTAATTTGACCTTTGACCTGAAATATCTCTAGGATAGTACCACTACCTATCTTCTGTTTATTACACTTAGTAATTTTATTAATCTGACCTCTGACCGGAAATGATTCTGGAACTTTCTCACACATTTATTATAAATACACAAATGTACAGCCTAGTTGATGACTTCGTCGGAAAGAAAATTTTCTTCGCAGTAACCGTCTTTTTAATGATTCCTACGATCCCATGTGTATATTCCGTGAATTCAAGAACAGTTCCATAACCAAATTTAATCTTAGTAAAATGATAAGGCCAGGCTATGTAATTTCGTCTGAGCTGCGTGACTACCATTAGCCTTTACAGTTTAAATTTTCTAGTCATTTTCTTTTATTCTGGCTAAGTGTCATCTATAACAAAACCTTTTTCATTTGTAACCAGGTTAACAGAAATACGCCGTACAAAGTTCATACACAGTTTAAAAACCACTTCACTTAGGATAACAGAGAACACATTGCTGTGTTATAGTTGTTGATTTATTTTATTCAGTATTGTTTGACTGTTTAATAATCAGTCGTCAATAAATAAAGATGAAATTTTGAAAACTCTGAAATCAGCCTGTTTATTAAGACTAATTAAGTGAATACCAATGAAAATCAAGGAATCAGTATAACATACCATAAAGACATATGCTTATTTTGATTGTCGTATTGTCAGCTAATATCAGGAGAATAGGTGATATTTCTAGTATAACTACATTGAAATAACTCTTGGTCATGTATACAAACTAGGCTATATATGCGTGAAAATGTTATGAGTATACCAAATGGTTAATAGGTGCAAGAATTTCTTAACTCAGACAGCGATAATAAATACCCATCGCCTAATTTACTAGATTGCTCTAAGCTCAAGAAAAGAGGTAGATTCGGAATGAGGTTAACATCCCTACCCGAAAAAAGACAGAAACAATATAAAAAATAAACGTATTCTTTGTTGGAATCAGGGAAGGTGAATGACGTCGACTGGTGAAAGCCTTTGGGAAGCCATTCAGCCAACGTGTGTATTGTTTCATTGAAAGCGAAAGTGAGCTCAGGGACATGGGATGTCAAGGCCACATCTGAGGCTGGCTAGCAGGTCTGCTCAGATTGCGGAAAAAAAATTAGAAGATATGGTGCTGAAGTACTAAGAATCTGTTTGAGCAAACTGAGTGGAAGTGCACCCTGCAAATCACTAACTGGAGAGACAACAGTCTATTATAGTCACCTAGACGACAACCATTATAGTTTGATGCATATCATAACGGTGATGACAGGTCTGGTCAACAGCGGTACTAGCTTACGTAACAAGGTGACCTCTCACAGACTTTATGGTTAACAAAGATGGACAGAACTCATTCATTCCCTGAAATTATTCTTACACAACCAAACATATTTCATCTATAGGAAGGGAGCAGTTAGTCACTCTATCCAGATAATGTGATGTATGTCTAAGAGGGATACTTCGAAAATGAATATCAACAGCTTGTCATAAAAAACTGATGGATGAAAAAGATCCATGTAAGGAAGACGGGAAAGCCAGTGATGCACACAGAATCCTAGAACTGGAAAGAATAACTTGCAGTCAGTTGCTTAAGAAGTACGTGTACTCACGTATATGACGAAATACTTGTTTCTCAAGGAATATTTTTCAATATATTATTCCCGTAATCAATCTACTCTATTGCATGGAAAACAGCGTACTGGAATATTCATTTGTACTATTTCTACTAAACGGTGAATTTGTCAAATGCGTATTCCGTGAAATTATCTGGACGGAGCCATTCTGAATCCATGTATGACTTCTAGGTTTAAAGAGCATGATGAAAAACAGAGAATCCTCTGAAGATTAGTTGAAAAACCATCAGATGGGAACACTGTGAAACCCTAGAGATGAGTTCCTAGTTCATGAGCTCACAAAACAATTAATTCATATAGAAATAATCATGTGTAAAGAAAATCACCAGAAAAATTTATCAGTTCTTCATTTAATGCCAATCAGATATTTGCATTCGATCACAGTCGGTAGACAGATGTTGTATACTCAAGCAAATCCTGTATGTCTAACTAACTAGAGTAAACGTGCAGATTAAGAATGCGGAAACAATGGAAGCTGTTTACGTAAAGTAACAGCGAATCAGAAGTGTCACATACTCATAGATTTTAAAACATTTCAGATATTTACCGCAGTCCTTATCTAGTTTGAATGATAATCAGAATTAGGAAGTTTATCATTACAATTTGTTGATATTTTTTTGAGAAAGGAAATCTATTGCCCTCATCATCGTCATCATCACCTCGTCATTCATTGACAATACTTGCTTAAATTTCATTATGGATAAGATTTTATTTTGATAAATCACACAGTGTTACACAGTAATATTAACTGATGACGTTTCGAGCACAAACTATTGCTCATAATCATATCAAGTTACTCACACAACTTCTTTCCTTCATTTATATACATGTGTGGAATCGATTAGATATTGAAATAAAATTCAATATGAGATAATGTACATTCAGAAATAATAGTACGAGTGTTATTGATCAATTACAATTAGATGGTAAGTAAAACGAGTGTTTCTATAGTCATAATAAGTTACTTGTTCGAACGTTTTGATGTGTTTGAATTGAAATAGAATTTTATGATTATCCTCCCCTGATTTGACTGGTGGCAATGATACGAGTGTTATTGATCAATCACAATTAGATGGGAAATAAAACGAGGATAATAAATAATCATAAAATTCTATTTCAATTCAAACACATCAAAACGTTCGAACAAGTAACTTATTATGACTATAGAAACACTCATCTTATTTCCCATCTAATTGTAATTGATCAGTAACACTCGTATTATTATTTCTGAATGTACATTATCTCATATTGAATTTTATTCAAATATCTAATCGATTCCACACATGTATATAAATGAAGGAAAGAAGTTGTGTGAGTAACTTGATATGATTATGAGCAATAGTTTGTGCTCGAAATGTTGTCATTTAATATTACTGTACAACACTGTGTGATTTATCAAAATAAAATCTTATCCATAATGGAGTTATGCTCTACCACAGTGCCCAAGTTTTATACTTATTTCAGAAATACTAGTATGATTTGATTTACCTCTCCAAAAGCGTAAATTAAATATAAAGAATCTGTTTATATATATATATATATATATGTATATGTATATATATACATACATGATTTCACTATTGTAACTCTGCTCATGTGTTGATTAAGTTATGAACTACAGCTGAAATCCAAAATATTTGTAGATACCTGCTCTATGTAGATTGAAATACCATTGAGATTTCAGATAAATACTGCTAGTTTCAGCCTCATTTTCATTCCACTGGGTCTGCTGATGTTTTAAAGTATTTTAGTGAATTATGATAAATTTAGTAATATGAAATTAATATATTATTATTACTGTTCCCTTAGGTTCCTAGTGGAACATAGAGCTTCAACTGCACGTCTCCACTTGCTTCTGTCTTGTGTTGTGCTTTCCACTTGCATCCATGTTAGTCCACACTGTTTCAACTCCTCTTCACACGATCTCCTCTATGTCACCCACACTTGGACGTCCCACTCGCCGTTTCCCTTTCGGGTCCACTCGAGCACTGGCTTGACGCGCAATGTCACCCAGCGGCCTCCTCAGCGAGTGTCCAATCCATCTCCACTTTCTCCTGCATATTTAATGAGCGATTGGTTCCTGTTTTGTTTGTTCCCATAGTTTCTTGGTGATTCTTGTTCTTTCCGGCCATCTGATCTTTAGTATAGAACGAAGACAGCTGTTGATAAAGATCTGCAACAGGCTGTTGGAAATATTCTTTGTGACCCGCCAAGTTTCTGATCCGTATAGAAGAACTGACTGACTTCACGTTTGTATTGAAAATCCGAATTTTATTGTTGATGCAGGCTGAGTGACGAAGATTTCCAGATTGGTTTCAGGTTGATGAATGTGTTTCTCGCCTTCCCGATTCTCGATTTGACATCCTCGTCCGTTCCTCCTGTATTTGAGACAATGCTCCCTAGATAAGTGAATGAAGTAACCTCTTTCAAATCCCTCCCGTTGATGGTGATTGGCGCTGGATGTTGCTGCTGCTGTTGCTGTTGTTGTTGGTTATCCGCAAAGACTAAATGCTGATACATTCATTTGCCCAGTTCATCTTATGACAAATGTACTATAATATGATATCGGGTAAATCTATCTCTTTTACTAATTCCTCCCTCTCGTGTAGTTGAAGAACAGAGATTGCTAACTTTATGTTTATCCTGAAGAATTCTTTTTTATGTATGTATCCTAATATTATGAGCCACATGTTAAAAGTGTTGTTTTACCGACTAGTCGGTTATAATAATATTGGGAAAATCTCAAGGCTTTTTATTCAAATAATTTACTTTATCCTTTATTCTCCCAAAGTGGAAAATAGTTCCATTTTTTTAAAATACAACATAATTAGAACAATATTTTTTTCTAAGTGTTGGAAGGAATAACTCATCAGCAAACATTTTTAATTATGAACAAAATTTATAATTGAGGTCTCCAAATCCCATAGAAAAAAAACCCAATGAATATCTGAGTACATAAACAGAAGATAGATAGGATGAGAAGAGTAATATTTTCCGAATGATAAATTTGATTCTTTCGCAATTACTGCTATTTCTGTAAAATGTTTTTTTCTCATCCTGTAGGCACCTGTATAAAATTTTAAATCAGACTCATAGTTATGTCACGCACGACAAGGTATAGTGTATGGTGAATTAAAGGTAATGAAGGAAACGCATTTTTAGGGACCATCAGAATGAATTGAATCTAAAATTGATATAAAAATTTTCCTCTTGACTGTTGAAGGTGAATTCCCTTTATAGTGACAGAGTCTGCCGCTGTGATACTCGACCAAATAAAGATGTCATCCATTGTGGTTTCTTTGTGAGAGAGTGATGGGTTGGGGATTTTGGAAAAAGACCGTCATTATAAACGCTGTTTGATAAATTGCTTGGAAGATTGAGGAAAAATTGGCGCCTGACTTGAGGAATTAGTGAACGAATACTCAATTCTTTGATCCACCTAGAAAGAGTTTAGATAGAAAGTGATAATCATTAAAAATATTTCAGACAAGAGGCACACGGCAATAAAAAATATTCAAAAGCATTTCATTGTAATACACATGCAATGCAAATCACAAGCTAAGCCCCTTAGCACAATTCAGTTTGCGTAAAGCCCTAACACTGCAGCTTGGGGTAATCAGATGCAACTTCTGCTTCAAGTGGTCAAAGTGAAGTAAACTACCTTTCACTTATTTAAATATCAACCGAAACATACTCAAGGGAACTTACGTAAAACAAGGCAGTTATAAACTTGATTGATAGAGTACTCCCAGGTTTGTCAATGGTTCTCTAGCCAATGTCAGCTCATGACGAAATCCTGTAATCAGTCAACCGAATCCCTACAAACCAATACTTGAATATCAATGAGATGCTCACTGGCGACTGGCCCTATTCAGGTAGGTAGTTACCTGGGGTTCCAGTGGGAAGTCGTGACCAGTAGAGTGCAGCAGGTCGGGTGTGAGGACAAATACTCGCCAGCTATGACATTGGCTAGCGGCTGCGCTATATCGTGAATTGGCAGAAGTTCGAATTTATGGGTCATTGGAACGGGTCCCAGTGACTTAATGGTATACGAGCTCGCCTTGTAACCAGAAGGTCCTGGGTTCGAGGCCCGGTGGGTGCGTATTGATGAAGAGTCCCAAACTAGGACTAAGGAAACAGCTGTCCAGTACTCCCAGGTTTTCCAATGATCCTCTAACCAATAACAGCTCACTATGAAATCCTGTAACTAATCAACCAAATCGCTACAAACCAATACTTGAATAATATACTTAAGCCTACTTAAAACCTGACATCTGTACAGTTCAGAAATTGACCTTAGTTATAAAAGCATCAGCTTTCTTTACCATCATTTTTATATGTTTCTTGTAGGTGAGAAAAAATGAGTAGTAATACGAGCATTTTCTCAAATTGAAAAGTTGCACTAATATTTATACTTGCCATAGAAGAAGAAGAAGACGAAAAACATCGTTTTTCAACCGAATAAACTGAAGTTTCAATCGACACAAGCTCTTTGTTCTCTACAGTGTTAAAATTAATAATCACACACAAACCAATCACGTAATTGCTAAGCATGATTGTTAAAACGAAAACCACTTCGTCATCGAATCCTAGCAGGTGGAGAGTTCCATTTTCAAATCAAACAGTAGTTACTACCGTAAGATTACTTTAGCATTTTTCTAGTACTATCAACCAGTAACAATTATTCCCAAGCGCTCAGATATCATACTTAATTCATTAAAAGAATATTAGTAAAGTCTTTCAGTAGTGAATACAACAAAGGAGAAGGAAATAAGTAGGTTCCGGTAGTCTAGTTAAATGCACAAAAGGTAATATGATCCACGGGGTCACTTTGAATGCAGGTGGATTAAAGTTAAAATGTCAGAGAAAGCAGTTGTTGATGGGCATAGACAAAAAATAGAAACCTAACTGAGATGAATATTACTGGTTAGTTTCGTACATGCCTTCGAAAGTCCCTTGCCAATAAAGTAAAGCAAAGTGAAATTCCTACTGGGCAAAAGGTATCAGTGACTATTCACTCGTAAACCTGTTAGTCAAAAATGGCTCACTGAAATACAACTACCTACAGCAACTTCTTAGTTTGCATAATTATATGAATTCAAGTTTAGCTCTTTTACAATCAAATCAGGCAAAGTTAAAGAGACTACAGATTTTAACTGTACACCGGTATTTTCTAAATTCTATTGTTGCTTCAGAAATGTAAATTTAACCCACTGACTCTTTTTCACTTTACAGAATCATCAAGAATGTTTACTCAATTATATGCATTCAGATCTCCACATTTTGTTTTCCACTTCACAGTTAAGTGTCAATATGTTAATTAGCCCTCTTAATAGGAAAATATTGTGTTTATTTATGAAATGAACGTAAAATAGTATTCACTCGCCTAACTACGAAAAATTGAAATCACAGATTCAACGCAAATACTTGTTTTAGAGTACTTACAAACCGATAAGAAGTAAAAAGTAATTCCAAAATGTAGTTTATCAATTCAAAACTAGCGCTTTGCAAAATATTTATGTGGAAGGAAATACAACCAAAATTAGTGTTAACATCACTGAATTTCTAATCACTTAATGACTAGAATTTGTTGCATTATGTTAGCTGGTTTCTCTGTATATTGATGAGCTGACCCTAGGAATGATTTTATCTCCCACAACTAAAAAAAGAGTTTTGCCATAAGTCCAATTGCCTGGTGTTTTATGTGCTTACAGAGATTTAACATTTTTCAACAGTCACTGAGGTTGAAAGTCCACTCTTCATTAAGTTGATTTGCATGGTAAATTCATAAGAACTATGTGAATATATATATGTGGTGAGAGCTGTCTACTAGCCAAATTGGTAGACAGTAATTTACGTCAATATTTACGTTCCCAAGATTGGTCGTGAGAAAATGTGAACAAAGATTGACTTTGCGTAGGCGGATGCAGTTAACATATAGAGGATTTGACATTCAAGAAACAGTCACAAATAGATGAAAGATTAACTTTACGTGAGAAACAACCAATCGGAAGACTGTGTTTGTTCGCTTAACTATCCATAATAATGTACATGAAAATATATAAATATGCGTTGATTTCCTTAATAAATGATCTGTTGCCTGACTCTTGCCTTCTGTTGTTACATATATATATATATATATGGATTTTTCCATTCTGGTTAATGTATTGCCGTATAACTTTTCGTTAATTAATATTACACTGTCTGATAATATTATGTTACTAGTTTGTGCGGTTATCACAAGGATAAAAACTACATAATGGTTAACAAATCGAATTCCACGGTAGTGAAATAGCGGCGAAAAAACAACTTTAAAAATACATTTTCTTTGTTCAGGATAAATTCATAACTTTTATGAAAAGCCATTATCGGAAGATCTGACAGACTTGATCACCAACAACAAACAAGAAATCATATACTGATCTGCTACAAGACGATCAATGATAGAATGTTCAAATTCAGAAGTTCGATGTGTCGGTATTAATAATTTCTGTTGGCCGTTACATAAAATAAGCAAACTGAGTTGAAAAACAAAAAATGACTAAAAATAACTGTGGTATAAAATGGACATTATCTCCCAGCAGTCTTGAAGCGTCTCAAATCTACTTTCTTGTGTACACTTTTATATTATCAGGCCTACTCATTCTTTGAATGCTTTTGTCAACTAATAGCGAAAATATACCCTTAGCAGTAGACACTAAGTTCAGAAACTGGACAGAGGTATCAAGGAGACTGCTTTCCTTAAAATGATCTTCAAAGAATACTATAACCTTTCCTCATAAATGGTGTACTCAAAAGTTTTGACTTCTACAAGAAGACAATCGTGGACACCATATTTACTAAAAATATTTGAAATGAAATTCAAGAAGGTTAGCTAATCTCTCTGTCTCTGGGCTTCTCCAAGCTTTTTCATTTTTATTAAAATTCAAAATATGGAAATGGAGGAAGGATAACTGGAAGAACACCAGTAAGCAAGAAATTTATTTCAGAAAGTGTTACCTTTTTCAGGTTGACCTTTTACTTTGTCTTTAAAATTCCTCTATGAGAAACAGTTTTACCGACCATCAATAATCTGTGATTCGAATATTTACATATTGTAAATTGTTTAAGTAACGCCTACTTATAATGATATCATACATCTCTCACTTTCGCTGAATTTCTGCTGGCGTTTTCTAAAATATTATTGTTCACCACAAATTTGAACAGTTTACCCTTTTACAGTTGGAATCAACCCAAATAAGCATATTGAATGATTTTTTAAAAACTGCAACAATCGGTTGAATGTGCTGAATTTTGATATTCAGAATCGAGTAAGATTTTATTGATTTTTTGACAAGTCGAACAGCACTACATAAGTCCATTTAGTCAGTATAAGCTTGTCACACTACTTCCTCCTTCCATATACTGTTTAGTTACATGATCATCGTATAAGTGCTGTACAAGCTGGTTTATCATTAACACCGCACTATATCATGGAGATGAAATGAAACTGTAATAGACTCATCAGTAAAACCTTTCGATTAAGATCTGTTCCGGTATTTTTAAGAAGGCTATCAACATATTGTTTGATATATTGAGTCAAGCAAAAGACAGTCTAGTAGCCATTTTCTTACTGTTTACGCTGAACACTGTACCAAACAAGTGTAAAATGAATTTATTCTACAGCTCAGTTGTAAAGAAAATGCAACATCCCAGAAATATGACTTACGACTTTATATCCTCCAAGGCAACCATCTTGCCGCCTTGTTCTAAGTGAAGATCATCTCTTTCAACTAATAACAACATGAGAGAATCGTTTAAGCCTAGTGGACAAAGAGAGGAACAAAACAGAAAAGAAGAACTTATACATTATTGATCACATAAAAGATGGAGATCTTTCAGTACACTCAATAAAAATTCCAACCCTAACGATAAATCTGAAGCATTTTGTCTGGACTATTTAAGACCGCATTAAAATAATTCTGATGAAGTTTAAAAAAAAATTCAATTTTCAGTTATCTTTCATGCTGGTCACTAACTGGTAAGTTACTACTTCTGATGTCTATTAGAAACTAGCACATTACAAAACTAAGAAGGAACTGATTCGCATTTGTTGAGTTTGTGAAGATTCGATTCATTAATACAATGAATGCTCAGAATGGGCACAGCCAATTTCTGAAGAAATCACTTTATTGCAATATGGAATAATCCAGAGTCCCTAATAGTTGGAGGAGGGGGGAATTACCAGGTATTTCTTTCATCCTCCTTTAAGAATATTTATCAGTGTGCATCTACATTGTGCGTCGGTGGCACGGCGGTTAGGACTCTCGCTGACCGTCAGTTCAATTTATTGTAGCATCATGGGTGTTCATTGTTGAACAGTCCCACACTTATTGCCTTCCGAAGCTTTTGCAGCTGGTACCAATTCTCAGCAGAAGTCATTATTACGCAAATTCAGTGCATTCGTGTTTAAACGCTTACCACAGAACAAAAAATAATATCAGTACGTACATAGCAGGCTGCTAGTTACTTAAATATTTATAGACTCAATTACTCTGATACACTGAACAAGTCATTTTTGTTCTCGAAATCAAGAAAGGTGCCACTATGGTATTCGACTACTGTCTAATAATTAACTTATTCATTTACATCAGTCTAGCAACAAAACTGTCTCCCGGTAGCTAGGAGACGAAAAGGACATAGGTTAGAAACTTAATTCAGATCACCTCTCATTTTCCACAAAATATTTTACTGAAATGTACATCTTGAATTAAAGACTGTTTACTTCTGCACTAGCTTCTCAAAAAGATAATATTTATGGCTGATCACAGGATACAAAGTGACCAAGGAAAAAAAGTTGAGGACCATGCATTTGACTATGAAGCAAACTTACTGTATCCTGGTTGATTATATCACCTTATTTCCTAGATGAGTCTGAGATAATAATAAATAGATTTTTTCATCGCAATCTGTCCCTGAAACAGCAGAAAGTTTAAGTATCTCTGTTTTATTGTTAAAACTTCAAAATCACTTCAATAGTCGACCCATGTAACAGATTTATTACGCCTGGGAATGGTGACTGAAAACACGGTTGTTATTTTCACCAACTAAGAACCTGTCTACCTAAAACCGTACTACAAATGATATGGGTAATATATTTCGTCCTGCTAAAGGGAACAGCCATTCAGTGTACTCAACACACAAAATACTTACTTTTTGCAGATATGGACCAGTGCCAGGATTCTTCACTACAGAAGACAGGAAGGACCCTAACAATTTAGTTTGTATTGTTACACATACGTTGCAAATTCGACCCGGCTGACGGTCATAAGATTCATTGACCACATATCCTATTAGAAGACCCTAAGACTTTTGGTTTAAGTTCTCAAGTTAATGAATTAAGGTCTACAAAGCTTATGGGAATAAAAGACTTCGAGAGATAGTATTTTTCCTGAATCTAAAAACAACTGAATTAGTTTCAGGTGGTAATTTTAAGCTGCTAAAAGTATCATGAGTGTATGCAGTATAATTAATTAGAATTGGAATATTACAACGATGAAAATTTTTAACCAATTCAGCATAAAACACTCTGGTTTATTCAGAACGAGAAAACGATAAAATGCATATTTAACCATGAGCATGATGATACCTTCTATCCTTGTATGGAGATCATTCATAATAACTTCCAGTTGAGAAGCAGAAAATTTAATTAATTCATTTTTGCACATTCTGAAACGTTTCAAGTCGATTCGAAGCTGAAATAATAAGAGAAGAAACATGGAATGAAAATCATAGTGAATAAATTATTGGAATAACAACAGTCTTCCTATGCGATGCTTAAATGTACTTGATTCGTCTATTTGTTTATTAGTGAAACATGTGTTGCAACAGCATCACTAACCCTCACTTAACGGCGTAGTACAGTTATCTGTTTCTGAGCAGATTTCAACCGGTGGGTAAGGGTACTGCTTTGAATTCTAAGTGCAAGTTATTAAAACAGACTAAGAAAATAGATGAATGGGAAACTCTCCTACTGAGTCAAAAAGAAGACGACGTAATAGAAAAGAAAATTCTCTTTTTTCAACGAATCATTTCCAGAAGCTGTACAGATGTATTTACATCCAACAGAGTATTCATAAGACGAAACGAATATTGGTTATAATATTCTAGAAAGTGTTTTAAGTAGTGTGAGAAAGGGAATACCCAAGTGCTTATTGAGGAATAGAAGCTGATATTGTGTAACAAATGACCTAGTCTATCCGAATTTCCGAAATGGATGAACTAGTGAAAACGCGGTAATTATAATCATTATGGTAAACTAAAAATCGAACACTGAAATGCAGTTTAGAGCAATGTAGGTCCCTTCATGAGTCTAGACAAAACAATAAGAAGACGTAATTAATCTGAAACATGTCATGAATTTGCGCAACACATTTCGAACGTAATTATAGCAAGAATGTTATCTAAGTTATGGTCTGATTTAAGCTCCCGAATAAATACGCTTCATTCGCTTCATTCCACTAAACAGCAGTTTGTACTGTACTTTGAAATAACTCGATGAACTAGGATAAGAAAATATACATGGATGATACTTTGGCAGATGCCTGTAGTTAACATCAAATAAGCTTACTCAAAATGCCTATGCTTGGCTACATTACCTACGATCTATGCTAAAAAAGTATTAATTCAATTAATATACTTCACATGTATGCACTATGAATTATCTATCATTTTTCAAAATTAGTTATTGAAGAACTGATTAATTTTTAAAACTGTAGTGAAAGAGAAGAAGAAGTTATATGCCTACTAATTATAGACACTTATTATTCAGCTTAACGTGAGTAGTGTAACACCCGAATAGCTCAGTGGTAACGTCTCTGACTGCAGCACTCAGTGACGCAGGTTTGAATCTCAGAAATGACATCAGTCCCTTCAAAGCTGCAGACACGTCTTGCTGACGAGTGCCAACTAGCACGAAACCTAGGTCAAAGGCTTCCTGCCGATTGCCTCCAACAGTCTAATATCATCAAATCAATGTGCACCATGATGGTGAGCTACCTAGAATGGTGGTCACATTGCAAACCTGACCGATAGAATTCAGTCTGCGCCGAAGAAAGGACTAGACACATCGCACTAGTTACTAGTGTCCAGTCAAAGTGCACGGCTCAGTTTAACAGTATATTTTCAATTTCATTTAATCCATATTTAACTTAAATATTATTGAAGTTGACAATTATCCCGTGTCGCATTTCAAGGTGAGATATTTTAGCGGGATTTTGAAATGCTCACTATGACAGTCTAAAGCACAACAACATGGATATTTCAGATGAACAGTGTACAGGTAGGTGTAGAAACGTAAGTAATTTCTTAGCATTAACAATTAAATAGTTTGAACTTCAGTCTTTCAAACTAAACAGGACCTGAATGTTTGGCTAAACAGAAAGTGCATTACTAACAACACTAAAAAAGCAGCTTCAAACCGTTATGTATTTTTGATGACAAGCCTACAAAGCTATAAGTTTTTATCTCATCTATTAACTTAAAATGTCACAAGTGGTAAGAAGGACACGCATTAATATTAACCGTATATATTAACTTTACAAAACACTTTCAGATGATGAACAAAAAATGAATCTCAGTAATTTAGCGTCATACGTTCCTATTCTAGGAGACGTATGCACTTGAAGCTGTTTCATTAAAAAGCTAAGAAAATCTCTACGTATTAAGCTAGACTTCGTCAAGAGCCAATGGTGATCAAACCAAAACATGTCATCAGTCAATGAAATCCACAACATTTAGTTTAAGCCACGTAGGAAGATGTAGATTTCCTGGTTGGGGTCCTTGGGACTGCAAACAGCAATGGCTGGAGACAGTTGGTGATATGGATCAAAATCGTTCTCAATGGCGCAGATGCATCCACTCCTTGTGACTTATAATCTCCAATAAAACTATATTGTTCTTCGATATTACTATTCTTTTTGCCTCATATCTCTGTTTATTGTCTCTATTTTGTGTTTCCTTTTACTTTCTTCTCTGGCTTTGTATGCTGGATGAAGTGTGGCGACTCGAACCGCTGCACACCAGTGCAAAGTTCTGTTTTGAAACCAGACAGACTTCGTCATGAATCTACATTAGTTACCGAACTACCGAATTAACTGTGAACAAAAATATTTATAACTCCTCAGGAATGCTAACCAATTTCATTACTCTGTGAATGCTTTCTGGCTTATTTATGTTTTTCTTCTTATGCTTGTAATTAAACGAATGTCGCATGAAAAAAGATGATTCCAGTACGTGACTTTATTCACTGTGTTTCATATTCACGATAAAAACTGATAGATAGTTTGTGTAATCACTTAGAACGCACACACGTTCTTGGCTTGTATTGAAATATATATATATATATATATCAGCAATCACACGATGAGATATACTGATTTAAAAACTGTAATTGAGTTGACCTAATTATACATGCTAAACCTGTGAAACTAGATGAAAACTTTACATCATATATTCGCCTGCTGTTTGATAAAGTAACAAATATAAGTAAATTTTTATGCCTTCACTTCAACCCAGATATGTCTCAAGAATTCAAATAAGGCAGAATAGACAGTGGAGCAACATCCATTGCATTTCTGTGAACCAATAAATGTTACATCACAAAGGCAGGGTAACCCATGGACCGTATGCTCTGTGACACATTTTTACTGATGACTCTCACTTAGAAGTTCAATTTATTACTCACTCTACAAGTTAAACTTTAACAGATCTTGACAGTTGATGATAATCATTGAGTTGTCGTTTTTTATCTTGTTTTTCAATCCATAAATACAAGTGAAGAAAAAAGCATAAGAGAAGCTGTAGGCTTTTAAAAGAAGTGGACTTTAAGACTGTAGAAATAATTTCAGCTTGAAAAATTGACTTGAACCTAATCACTCATTCATGAAAGCTAGATATCTGTTTTGAGTACACAGGCTATTCTTTTCTACCAAATGAAAAATCCTGTAACCAATCAAATCCCTACAAACCAATACTTGAATATCAATCAGATGCTCACTAGTGACTTGCCCTATTCAGGTAGCTAGTTACCTGGGGTTCTAGTGAGAAGTCGTGACCAGTAGGGTGCGGCAGGTCGGGTGTGAGGACAAATACTCGCCGAAGACATTGGCTAGCGGTCGCGCTATGTCGTAAATTGGCAGAAGTTGGAATTCATGGGCCATTGGATCGGGTCCCAGTGGCTTAATGGTATACGAGCTCGCTTTGTAACCAGAAGGTCCTGGGTTCGAACCCCGGTGGGTACGTACTGCTAAAGAGTCCCAAACTAGGAGGGAGGAAACAGCTGTCCAGTACTCCCAGGTTTTCCAATGGTTCTCTAACTAATGTCAGCTCATGATGAAAAATCCTGTAACCAATCAAATCCCTACAAACCAACATTTGAATACAATTGGGAGAGTTAAAAAAAGTTTACTGCCTTTAGACAAGTATACTGAGAGAGTTCAACCCATTGATCATACCATGATCATGATAACAAAATAAGATAGCAGCAATGCAATAGCACATTTCATTAGCCAAACGTACAACTGTCATTTGAAAAATAACACTTTAATGTTCATTGAATAAGTTTTAATTTGAAATCCAGGTTTCATAAGACAATTAGACATACACAAACGTCGTGGAAAAGAAGGAAGAGTGAATCTTAAAGAATGGTAATTAAGAAGTTAAGAGAATTTACTTCTGATAGAAACAAGACTACTTTCAATTTCTTTAGCATTTGTGTTCACTTAGATATTTATTACCACATACAGATTGGTTAAGGAAACTGCTTATTATGAATAGACTGAAACACTGAGGCTCACTTTCTTTTACTGCTCTTTCGATTATTGGTGGCACTAAATATTTGTTTAAATAGTCTTCACCCTAATTAACTAAGTGTAACATACCGATGAAGAGAATCAAGGTTGAATCATCATATATGATTAAGCCAGGAGAGAAGAATATACCTATATCAAAGCAGTGGTTTCAAGGGAAATGAGAGGTTGAACAAAAGATGAAAGACAAAATGTGGACTATGTAAAATAACATACTTTTCGTTTATGGTAAATGAAGAAATGAATTTTGTGTGACAGAAATGTGACCAAACTATTCCACTTTATACATTAAACAGCTCAGATATCTTATGAATCTTAATTAAGAAGTTTTCACCTTGTCATGTAACCTCACCAGGTTTACTAGCTCGCTAGTTTTCTAGCTCGTCCTAAGCCCGGGTAAAGAGGGAGGCTTCGGCGTCGGGCTAGCAACCATACACCATAAAACCAATCGAACTGCTAGAGAAGCTTCAACGCACAAGAAATATATTAAAAGGACAAAAATTTTTAAAAAAAACATATTTGTTCTTCACAGGATTTGGAGAGGCGAAACGACACAGCAGGCTGGTGAAAGCCTTCGGGAAGCCAATCAGTCTGCCGATTTGTCTCCTCTCGATGAAAGCAAGAATAACAATGGGGACGCCAAATGTACGTACAATGTACGAGACTGTGAAGGCTGCTCAGGTAGCCAAAGAAATGCTAAGATATGGCAGAGAAGCGCTGGGTATGTGCGAGAACAGATGGAATGGATGTGGACTATTAAAATTGTCAACTGGAGAGTCAGTAATCTACTCCGGTGTGGTCTTCCAGACGACAACCAAGAGCACACCGAGAGAGTGAGTGGCTACCATGATGTCAACAGTGGCAGCCAAAGCCCTTATACAGTGGGA